GAAACTCTCTACTCATTTTTACTGTTTTTGTTTTGTTGTTGTTGTTTCTGACCAGGTCAACGAGTCAAAGACCATTCTGAAGCTGTGTGACTTTGGCTCTGCATCACATGTTGCTGACAATGACATCACACCGTATCTGGTCAGCAGGTTCTACAGAGCCCCAGAAATCAGTAGGTTACAGTTTGAGTTCTATGCAATAAAAAAAAATATCTCTGAAACGCAGATCTTCCTCACCCTCACCCTCCTCTCTCACCCTCTCAGTCATAGGGAAGCCGTATGACTACGGCATCGACATGTGGTCTGTAGGCTGTACTCTGTACGAGCTGTACACTGGCAAAATCCTGTTTCCTGGATCTTCTAACAATCACATGATCAAATTGTCCATGGACCTTAAGGGCAAAATGCCCAACAAGGTTTGATTTCATCATTAAATTTCACTTCCTTCCTTGTTGTTATCTCAGGGATGAAGCCCAGAGCAGCAGCTTTTATGAAGTCACGTCTGATGCAACCTTGTTGTTTCTCTTTCCTCAGATGATCCGTAAAGGTTTGTTCAAAGACCAGCACTTCGATCAGAATCTCAACTTCCTGTACATCGAAGTGGACAAAGTAACGGAGAGAGTAAGTTTTCTGAATTGTTCCTTCAAGAAGCTCACCACCAGAAAAAAAGTTGGCTTTCCTGATACCAGAACCGGTTTTGACTCCTGTGTCTTTAGGAAAAGGTGACGGTTATGAGCACCATCAACCCCACCAAAGATCTGCTGGCCGACATGATCGGGGGCCAACGCCTGCCCGAGGACCAGAGGAAGAAGGTGATGCAGCTGAAGGACCTGCTGGACGGCACCTTGATGCTGGACCCGGCCAAACGCATCAGCATCAACCAAGCTCTGCAGCATCCTTTCATCCAGGAGAAAATCTGAGCTCCGACCGAACTCAAACCACTGACCAACCAGCTCTGAGCAGGGACTCTGGAAACACTTCTTCTCAGAATGTCACATACATATTATTTTATTTTTTTTTTTTTCGTTGATGTTCTTCTCCACACAGTAGTAATTTTGGTAATGAAAACATAATTCTGTTTTATTGTAAATAGCCATAAAATTGTAGCCATTCTTAAACAAAAATCCCAATTATAAACATCCTCTCACACCCAGGACACACAGTCAAGAAATATTAAGGTTTTTTTTTTTTCGGAAACACAGTTAAGAAATATTAAGGTTTTTTTTATTTTATTTTACAGGTGTTGAAGTTACAGATGTTTCAAAGAATTAAAAAATATAATTTCTGTAAATACCGTCTGAAGGCAGTAAAGTTTTGTCATTTTTTAAAAACAAAAAACAACACATTTCTCCTGATAGGGGTGATGCATGCTTTTTTCTGAATGTGCACCCTGTGGGTTTCTGTGCAGGCCTGTGTAAATGCTGTGTATGTGCATCAGTGTCCCACGTGTGACAGCAGCTCTCCCCCTCCTCCCCCTCTTCCTTCTCTTTCTACCTTCTACTCGTATGTCCCAGCCCAGAGGTCTGGGTTGAAGGAATAAAACTTGCTTTAAATTTTAAAATTTCCACACCGTTATTGTTTTCATTTGCTGGAAATCTTCCACGTATATTTTGTTTTTAATTGGAATCCCTCCTCCCAGTTCTTTGACACGGTCTCGGCTCTGAAGGCTCTCACGTTCAAGTGCCTCCTACAGGAGCCTCCTACCACCATGTGACCGTCGTCATCTTCCGTTTCTTTTTTTTTCTTCCGACTGCTGTAAATAGTCTATAGTTACTGTCAGGTTTCATGTATGATTGTCCTTTTTTTCCCCCTTCATGTGTTTAAAAAAAAAAAAAACCATGAACCTTGTGATTTCAATAAAGAATAGTTGTGGAAACACTGCTGAAAGAGCACCTTCGGTTTGAGACATTTTTTAAGTAATAAAACGTTTCTTGTCCTTGACCAAATCAGGTTTCTCTTTTTTTGAGTTACAATTATATTTATAATGCAAATGTAATTAAAACCTGTGACTCTGTAACAACAGGCGTCCAGATGTTTTTCAAATGGTCAGACCTGATGTCAAAGTGTGTAAAAGCTAAACTGTCACCCCATTAAATTCAGTTTCAGAATCTTGTCAAAGATTCCTATCCAACGCCTTCCCGTAACCTACAGTTTTTAAACACCATTTCTTTCCTTTGACATTTGACTGAAGTGGTCTAATGTAGTGACTTGTAATGAACTGAAGGGGGCATCAGAAGAACTGGTTATTTCCCATGAACGAACTCGTTCATCAGACTTTGGTTACAACGCAGGCATTAAATTACACAGCAATATTAATGTATTTGTAAAAAATGTGTTACAAAAAGTCGGTTAAACTACGCTCTAGAAAGTGTGTCTAATGTAAAGGTGGTTTCAAATGACCAATTTATTTATCTTTGAATTTGTTATTTTGTTTCTGTGTAATGAACTGCTACAGCAGAAACAAAAAGCAAGGTTACAGTCACCTTTTCTAGACAAATGCATTCTCTTATAGTACCTTCTTTTTAATATATGTCTGACAAGTATTTTTGTGTATTATTTTTGGATAACTTTCAAATGAAGCAAAACATGGTTGAATTATTTAAAAAACAACAAACAATCAATAGATGTTAATTTCTCTATGAAAGCTACTGTCATTGCATCACTTTTATCACTTTATTTTTTAAAGCACAAATTTGTCTTAAGGCAATACATTAAAATAAACTCCCTGCAGTATGGTTCAATTTTATTGTGGTAGAAATTCAAGGATTGCTAAATTCTTATTCTATTATTTGACTCATATTGTATGAAATCTAAAATAATCTGGTTAGATTATAATGTGATTTAAACAAAAGCACCTGTCATGCAGATACAGTAACTGATCATCGGAATGGGGCTTGGTTGTGAAATTTAAACAATAAAAAAAAGCAGTTTCTTTTACAGTGCCCCTTAAGCAAAATGTGACAGTTTCTGCTAAACCATGCTTGTGCAAAACTAATATAAAAGTAGTTGTATTGTCACCAAATCAAATGTAAAAAACCCAAAACAATGCCTTTATGATACGTTTCCGAAGCGACTCACAAAAAGGAAAACAGGACTTAAGATAAAATTTCCGTTTTTATTAAAACCATACAAACATTTGTAGTCAGTTATAAAAGAGCGGAGTGGCTCTTCTGGCGGAGGGGCAGCGCTGGGCACTTGACGCACTGCTCTGAGCCAGATCTGTCTGGCCTCCACCCAGGGCCTGAGAATCCCTGCTTTCAGAGTCGGTTCTTTTTATTGGCCCCTGGGTACCTTCTCATTTACTCTGCTAATCCTACACAAAGAGTACTGTATTTACACGTCATATATAAAAGCACAATAAATGTGAAAACGAAAAAAAAAAGTCAAATTAAAAGAAAGTAGAATGCATTTCTCTTCTGATATTATTTTTTTCTTATATAAATGTTGTGGTGTTTTTTTTTTCTTTTTACCTTTTCTAGGTCTGACAAGACACTTAACATGTTGTATTTTAATTTTTTTTTGTAATTCACAATGGAGGGCTGGCAGTGATCTTTCTCAGATAAGGCACATACCTCAGTGTCATTTCCTTCTTTCAAAGGAAAAAAAAATGTACTTTTTAAAGAAAAGAAATAATTGTCCTACAAAAACGACAAAGTTGTACCAAAAAAAAGAAACTTTGAATCAAGTTGTACCTTTGATGCAAAATAAAAACGTAAACGACTTAATATTCAGTGCGCAGTCGCACAAGGGACTGCAAAAAGGCAACACTAACACTGTCGACGACGTCACTGCAACACTTGATGGCAGTACACATTCTGAATTTAAGAGCTTTCCAAAAAAACATACAGAGAATTTTCCAAGAAAGAAAACACATCACTTTACAGCACTAATCGTCATCAGGAAAAAGACAAAATCCATGTGCTGTGGACCAACTTTGGTCATTAAGACTGATTAAGTCCTTAAGTCTGTATCAGTTCATTGAAGCAAACATAAAGCACCGAATGTGACCTTTGATCTTCGAGGAGAAAGTGTCCTTTTTCACATTAGCTCCAACAATAGCCGGGCAATCCAACATCAATGAAACAGATTATCGCAAAAAAAAATGCAACCCCCCAAATAGATACGTACACTTGCAAGTACCTCATCAGTCTAAATCAAGCCTTTTACTGCAGATGACGAGCGGATAACTAACTGCGGTGCCTTGAAGACTTAGATGTGTTGTCCAATTATTGGACTTGATAACATGAGAAAACACCAATTGGTGAAAGTCGTAAAACACAAAAGCTGGAGCATTTACAGGTTCACAAAAGTAACATACAAACAAAAACACAAAATTACACAAAAACAAAATATACCACTTTATAAGAAAATGTTTGATATACCTTCCTGCTAGAAAGAAAAAAAACAACAACGTATTTTTTGAAAACCTTGAAAGCTGCACTGTTTTTTTTTTATTATTTCGAGTAATCTTTTATTAAAAGAAATGTTTAAAAAAGTCGAGTGGCAGAAAAGTACTTGAAGGTCGTTCAGAATATGAAGAATTGAAAAGAGCCTGACAGTGTTGAGGTGAACATAAGTGGGGTAACATGAAAATCAGCTGTGAACCTAATCCTTTATTTAAAGGGTATGGACAGGTTCATTACATTTGCGAATGACACACTTACTTCAAATAGGTGTAAAAACCATTGAAGAAATGAAGCGCTAGAGATTTGGAAAATTGTTTTGTAGACGCAAGGCAGGATACATGCGGGAACCAGACGGTGGCAGGTGGGACGGCAACGATGCAAGGTGTATAATGTAGTAAATAAAGGTGGTGGAATTTTAGTACCAGGGGTCAAAGAATTGAGAAGCCCACAGAATAAGAAAGAATAGAAGACAGATATACATGTTGGATCAGGATGCCAGACACTTGGCACGTGGGTTTGTCTATGTTTTTCTTTTTTAATTAATGCATGCATTTTTTTTTTATCCAGCAGTGTGTACAGCAAAACAGTGACGATACACAGAATACTGTTTCAAAAGACGTGAGCCTTAGCTCACCATCACATAGTAATACAAAGTGAAGGGCTTCCAAAAATAGCCTTCATTCCCGAAAAGGAATATAACTATTTAGCTATACACAGTTTTTACACATCCCACTCACCTATGGGATGATATTTCTCTACAAAATAAATGTGTTTGGCAACTTGCCTCTTTTAAGTATAACACTTTTAAGTACACAATAAAGTTCTCGTAATTGCCACATTTGTCTAAATCTTCACATACACCATAATTCTCTTCCTTTTTTTTCCCATTTTGTTTCAAAGGAGGAGAAAGCAGAGAGGGAGAGCAGCTACTGCATGATAGCCAGGAACTTGCTCTCCTCAGCAAGGCTGGTGAGAAGAGAGGTCATGTCTCCGATGGCCATGTTGTTCAGGCCAGGAGCCACACTGTGGAAGTTTGCCGATCCACGAGGTGTGGTCAGCCGTGATGAGGTCCTGGACAGACCTTGAAAGATGGTAGGACTCAACACACCTGACGCCAAGCTACCCTGATCATAGCCGTCCTCCAAAATAGAGCCGAAGTCCAGGCTTACTGTGTCGTCTAAGACACTGGGTACATTGCCATTCACTGTACTGGTCACCTGGTCAGAACCAGGTGAGAGAATTGCAACAGAGTTTCCATGGCCACTGGTGCCGCCATGCGCCACTGAGGCTACCATGGAGTCAAGCAAGCACTGCTCCTCCAGGACAGGGAACGAGGACGCCTTATGATCTGCTGGGTCATAAGAGAGGCAGTCACTAGTCTCCTGGTCCAGGTATCCATGGTCTGGGGCCTCAAGTTTCAGTCCAGACACCTCTTGTACCAGGGAACAGTGGTCACCATTCTTCTGCAGTTGTGGCTGCTGGTTGAAGTTAGCCTGCATTTCATTAGCATTTGTAGTATTGAGGTACTGCTGGGTCCTGACTGAGTTCCTGTAACCATTTACTGGAGGGCGAGGGACATGAGTCAGCTGATTGTGGTGAAGAGCACTTCCCTGGGCAAGGCTGGGTAGGTTGTCCATGGAGCCCCTGCCAAGGTGGGTGTTATTACCAACCTGACAAGAGGTGTTTCTATTGGGACTTTGCTGGAAGTGGTTCTGCTTTTGAGATCCATTTGAGAACTGCTGTTTGAAGTTTTGTGGACAAGGCTGATTATTGGTCTGTGAGAAGCTATGCCTCATGTCCATGCAAGAGTTGTGTGAATTCTCTAGCTTCACTCCAGGATTGACGGGGAAAGAATTTTGAGGTTCATTTGCTAGAGAACAACTGTTCTGGAAATCAAGGGGCGTCTGCTGCTGAACTACCATGTTTCCAAACCTACCAAAAGGCGCAGATATAGATTCTGAACTTGACCATTTTCCACACTGTGTCTGGTGGTTGTGCTCCCTCAAAGGAGACCTTTCAGCACTACCAGAGCTGACTTCATTCCACTGGATTGGAAGCTTGCTGGGACTCTTTCTCTCTACTATCTGCTGCTGGAGAACATGGGCATCTACATTGAAGCCTGGTGCCTGCAGTTGTTCAATCTCTTCAATGGTTGGATGTAAGGGTTCCCTTTGGTGAGAAGCTATTTGGTCTTCAATATTCAGGTAAGGGCCACCGTCCATTTGAACATGGGAGTTGAGATACTGCACAAGTTCATCTGGCAGCATGTCTTCATCCTCAAGCAGTAGGCCAGCCTCCCCGTCATCCTCCATTGCTAGAGCTTCTAAGGCTGCATGTTCTGCTATGCTAGGAGTGTAGGGTGAGTGCTGCAGACCCCTCTGCAGGTTACCTTCTGAGCGTGTGTAGTTCTGTAAGCTAAAGTTGCGAGTTTCGGGTGTTGAATGATGAGAAAGAGGTGGAAGAGGATGTAGGTTGTTAAGGCTGTTGAAGCGTTGCACCGGAGGCAAATTGCAAATATCAGGTGCTTGCGTTCGGACAGGGTCACTGGCCCGGCGGTTTCCATGCAGTGGTCCTTCACCTGGATACAGGACCCTCCTCCTGTAACCTCCATGGCCCACATATCCATTGGTGTACCCGTTAGTGCCCTCACTGCAATTATGTGGTCTGACTAGAGGTGGCAAACAGTTATGGCTCCCACCATCATCCATCATGGCCATGCGAGTCTTCAGGCTCATGCGTTCCATGTTCGGCAGAGGTGTTGGAGGTGGACCACCTGTTGCTGCTGCATACTTGGCCTTAAGGTGGTAGTGCTGTGCAGGGGTTAAATTGAGCATCCCCCGTGAACCAGATCCTCCTCCTCCTATTCCTACTCCACCTAAACCTCCACAGCCTCCACTTGAAAATATCCCTCCAACTCCGCTACCTCCCATTCCTCCTCCACAATGGCTTGCCTCACTGGACCGGCGGGAGGCATCAGTAGAGATTGGGTCATAAGAGTCTGTGGAGCTGAGGTTGTGGAGGCGGCGATGGTGGCCTGCTGTCGTTGTACCCTCATTTTGGGAAGCCTGGCTGGAGCGTCGGCTGGAGAAGCAGGGTGAGATGCCCGAGGAGCGTCGGCTGCTGCTTAGGTAGGCTGAACTGGTGGCACTACCACTGCTGTCACGTCGGTCTCGGAGCAAATTTAACACTGTAAGCTCTGTGTTTCCCAGCTCAGTATGAAGGGGTGGCTGAGGAGCCTGCCTGCCCAGACAGGGCCCTAAGGAAACAGACAGCAATGAAACATTAAAAACAAAACATTTAAAAAGAACAATCCAAAAATATGTTTAATAAGTCAGATTAATATGTATTTGGTTGTTTTTTTTCGTAGGACCATAATATAAAAGGACTCATTTACACCTTATTACCCTTTGTTATTACATTGTCTTTTTTGAAAGGTTGAGTTTCAGCTAGGGTTTGCATATATGAGGACAACAGAAACACAAGATAAATGTTGCTCCTCAGCCAATAAGTCATAGGATTTCAAGTCCTGGAAAGGTCTACTAATGTCTCTTTGGGTAAAAGTGTGTCACAAATTAAAACTTAGCAAATGCCTTCAAACGCCTTGTTAACAAAATAACAATTTTTGAATTTTGTGTCGGCAGTTTTTCATCAATACTCCAATGTTCTCTGATGTAAAAATCACTGATTTTCTCTATGGACTTTGGTGCAGAGTACTGAGTTGTGTTGAAATCCACTCAACAGGTGTAAATCACATTGTTATTGAAGCCTCAGTTTTTCCTTGTGTCCCTGTTGGCAGAAAGTGTCTGTGTCTCAGCCTTGGTCTTGGCGAAAGTGTTGCGCTCAGAGGCGTTCATGTCAAAATCAGTACTAATGTGTCCTCATTCCTCCCATCTCCTAAAGTTTTAGTAGGAGAAATCCCTGAAAACAGATGTTTCCAAAGACAACTGGCAGCGTTCAGCCGTGAAACATTGTTACATGCTTTTCCCTCTGATATGATTCACAGTTTGATTCGGGGCTTGATACTATTTTCCAGCATAAAAATAAATTTTAAGCATTCGCTGCAGCCAAAACGGGCAAGATGGTATGCAGGATAATTTATTCTCAAAATGTGATTTCTACACACTCTGCAGGTGTTTTTTAACTGCAACAAGGCCACTGCCTGCTGTGTCTGAAGCACATGGGCCAAAGCAAGTCAAGTATTCTTTGTATTAAGAAAAGCGTCTCGCATCCTCCAGAATTTTCCAACCAAATAAAAAAAAGTTGTAAAGTTAAATTTACCCTTTCCCAGGATGTTGGGCAGTGTGGAGTTTTTGGGTGGAGGTGTTGGGGACAGGGGCCCCAGCCTGGGCAGCGCTCCATTCACTTGCTTAAGTCGCTCCATCTTGATGTGCTCCATCCAGCGCAGGGGGCGGCCGACACTACGCCGCGCCTGCAGGGTCAGCATGGCGGCGGTGGCTGTTGACACAGTAGAGTCCATGATGGGGGCGGGCTCTCCCTCGCACTCCTCCTCTGCATCCTCTTCGTCGTTGTCCTCTTTCTCCCCATCCTCCTCCAGCCCCTGCCCTGGTGAGCGTCCAGCACTCACAGCAAGCTGGACTCCACCGCTGGGATAGGTGCTGACGGGGGACTGGTCACTGCTGCATGTAGACTGACCGCCAGGGCTTGGCTGAGACGCCTGAGGAACAGGAACCAGACGGGAAAAGAAGAGACAGTGGAAAAATAAAAAGGAGATGATTATCAAGCTTACAGAGTTTTATGTCACAAAACAACAATGTGATGGTTTGAATCATGCTTTTCCTCTTACGTCAGGCACGACAATTACTCATAAAAATATTTATTGAAGCTTATAAGAGATTACTTTTTTGTTATTGTAGCTGGAGCAGGATTGTTTTCATTAATGTGGCCTGAGTAATGCACCAAGGATATTTAAAAAAAATACTTCTTAAAGAGGGAATCATGTTTTGTATTGTTCTCCCAGGAAAGGCAAATTAAACAGCAGTCTCCTGTGAGACTGACTGCTGCCTAATGAGGTTGTTTACTGTGTTATGGAAATGATGTTGCACTGAGGAATAATGGGATCAATTCTTGGCATCAAGTACAAGCGGTGTTGACTTATTAGGTAACTATTAGACAATTAGGTCCCAGGCCTGGCCAAATCTAGGACCTTTGTTCACAAAAATGCGTCACATTATACTAGGAAACACACACACACAATACATAAATGCAATGCGTCGAACAGAAACAAACGATAAACATTCACTGTATGGATGTAAAGGAAACCCTAACTGAATGTCCTTTTTGGGTGGGCTCTCATGCAGGATGAAGAAAAGTCAAACAGATGATTAAATAACAGATGACCAAGAACCAAGGAGGTCAAACAGATGATTAAAATAACAGATGACCAAGAACCAAGGAGGAGAAACTGGACCTGACCGGTGTAACTAGAAGGTAAACCTATCTCACCTGATTACCCACTGTCCATAGTAAAAGGGTAGAGAGATGCCGAAGCATTGAACAGAAGAAAAAATGTACTTGTTAAAAGTTTGGTGTTAAGTCACACATAACCAACTCACAACGCTTTAAAGGAAAGGTTAGATTTTTTGGGGGAAATGTATGTTTAAATAAATATAAAGTCTTACCATGGGTTTCTCCGTCTTGATGGACTTGACAGGAAGGCAGTCTTCTTGTTTTGAGGTGGCGTGATTGTAGTCCCTCTGGTCCGAGTATCCGCCCAGGGGCAGCTGCCCTGGTGATCGACCCTGGCCATTTGCCCCCGGTTCTCTGTTTTGGGGCGGAGGACGTGGGTAATCGCCACGCTGTTTCTTCGTTACGTGGGCCTCTGGGCCGTGCACCGTCTTCACGTGTTTGCGTAAAGAGCTTGGGTCGGTGTAGCGTTTGGTGCAGCCTGGGATTTTACACACGTATGGTTTCTAAAAAATTAAACACATTATTATTAAGAGATGCAGGTTCTGTAAAAAGACGAGATCAGATCCATGAATTGTGATGTTGCTCTTTGGTACCTCGTTTGAGTGTGTGCGATTCTGATGTTTGGCCCGATCTGAGGCATTGGAGAAAGCCTTGTTGCAGCCTTCGTGCTCACAAACATATGGTTTTTCTCCTGTGTGTGAGCGTAAATGAGTCTTAAGGTTTTCCAAACGGGAGTAGGCCTTGGCGCAGCCCTCAAACTGCAGGAAAAGAGAGGGTGGACGTCAACAGGGCACATGTAAAATCGCTTGTCACCTGCAAACAAGGCGAACTGTGTAAGCTCATGGGAGAACCCTTACTGTGCACTTGTGAGGTTTCTCCCCTGTATGCCGGCGCATGTGGACCACCAGCATGTACTGTGCCTTGAAGGGCTTCTGCTCTCGGGAGCATTCCTCCCACCGACACACAAACTCCTTCTTTTCCCCATGGATGTGGTCATTGTTGATGTGCTGCAGAACAAGATGGAAAACATTAAACCAAAACATTTGCTACTAGTCTGAGAAGGTCTTGTTGTGTCTGAAACATGAAGCAGGTCAGGCAAAGGTTTCCAAAATAAGCTTGGAGGGCCATATGTGGCACATGGACATGTATTTTAAAAGAGAATAATCTTATTGGTCAAGTGCTGAAAACCTTTTAGTACATTTCTAATTTCAGGGATTTTCTTTTTAGTTTTAGTTATATCTTGAATAATTGTTTGGTTTATTTTCCTTTTTTAACTTAGATTTCATTTTCCCACTGTTATCCCTGGATGTAAAGGGCTTAGAGCTGTGCAGTTTGACCTGGAAATGATGTGTTGTGCAGAATGACAAAGAATATTAAATATGGTTCTTTTCTTTAATGTGGCTGTTTTTGTTTCTTTCCCTGTCGACGCCTTTTCTTTCCAGCCTTTTGCTCAGCCTGCCTCTGCAGAAATCCTCACTAAGACAAGCCAAAGGATGCAGTCTTGTGAGCCTCACTGTCCGTCCTGAACAGGATTTTCAAATAAAACCCTGTCACCGCGCATCACACTGGGCCTTCGCCCTTTTCATGACAAGTGCTGACAGTTGTGCTGCGGCGGCAACTTCCAATCTAAAGGCTTAGGAGGCGATGTGCGGGGGGACAGGACAGGGCGAGAAATCTCCAGTTCAGTCAAGGAAGTGCCGGGGCTTTACAACTGCAGCCGAGCATTACATCTGCAAGCACCATCTCTCTCTTCCTCCAGCCTGTTTCCTCCTCTCTTCCCTCTGCTCCATCGTCCTTCTTAACTGTCTTGTAAAAGTGGGTAAATGGTGGATGTTACAGAAGAATGAAAGAGCTGTAAAAAAAAAAAGCACATGCCACATAGATGCAGACCCTCCTGGGAAAGAAGTGGACATCTGGCTCTCTTTCATAGACAGCTCTGTGCGGTGGCCTCTGAAGTGCCTCTCGCAGAGCTGCATAAACCCAGGGAGACGGACACAATATCCTGACCAACACAAACTGGTATTATTACATTCCTGAGCAGGAATCTGTTTTACCTCGGGGGTGAACGAAGAGAGAGGAGAGATGGAGGGAAGATAAATAAGAGACTCTTAAATATCTTGGGGGTCAAGGGGCACACACTTTCCTTTGAGTGCTCACTCGTAAGATTGTGCAGCTATAAAACATGCAGCACCAAAGCAGATGAAGGATTCAGGGTCAGTTCCCCTCCAGGCATGACACTGATTCCACAATGGCATCTTTGTACCTTCCGACTGCCCTGCCCATTGGCCAGGTCATGACTCCACACAGAGCTATGACCATGACAATCCAACAGGAAACCGCTGTCTATTTGATCTTTCTTTTTTTCCATGACATTCTGACCCTTCTTCTTTTCTTCCAAGTAATGTTAAAATACTTGGGTAATGACTAATGAGTCGGACCGGTATTAACAGAAAAACTTTGAAATTAAGTTAAGACCTGTATTTACCTCAAGGGAGTCTTAAGATTCTGGATCTCACTCAAAGCTTAAGAGCAAAGTTTCTGGTTAGAGCAGAAACAAAGGAACGTAGTTAAGACTGGACTTAAAGAGTTCATTAAAGCAGGACAAACATATCCTTAGCCTCGTAGCATCATTTCTTAGTCATGTTTAAATCTGTAGTAAAAAGTGGTTGGAGTGGTCATCAAGATGGGATTTATTGGCCTCAACGTTTGTCCAAACTCCCTGTTCAATAGGAAAGTCTGTCAAGAGCCTGGCTTGATGGGATTTATTGGCGTCAACGTTTGTCCAAACTCCCTGTTCAACCATTCCAAAACTCTCCCCTCGATCCACTTCCCAGGTCATGACTAGTCACTGGCCGTGAAAACACAACAGAACCCACTCTCCATTTAATCACTGGCTGCCGTGTAAGACTAAAGGAGTGGAGTATATCGACCAGTGAGTCAGCGCGGTGCAGCAGTGAACACGGAGAGTAGAAACGGACCATAATATATCTACAAAAGGACCTCCATTATTCTCACTTGACATTTTTTAATTCTAAAGTGACAAAACAAGACTAATTCCATGGGAAAATGATCGGGCGAGTGGACAAGCGCAGACATTAGTGAAGTTTCCCCCAAGATTGATCTCCTCCTCGGCCGGAGCCGAAGCCGCTCAGAAAAACTGACTGGTCTTCTCTTTTTCTTCCTCGGTGTACGGGGAATCCCTGTGGCATGTGATCGGTCTGTTGTGAGCACCGTTCAATATCCCTCGGCTTAGAGCGATGGGAGAGTACAGTGGTCAAACACACACACACACAGATGGACACACACTCGCTGCCTGTTTGTACAAATGAAGGAGGAGGTTGACGGCTGTGATGCATGAGCCTCGCGGCTGACACGAGAGACAGCACGAGAGAGAGAGAGAGAGAGCGGGGCTGCGGAGAACCCTATAATGGCCTGATCTAATGGCAATTTTTATTGAATCAATAATCTCCATGCTGAGCAGACAGGCCCCGTTGCGCGGCTAAATCGACAAACAGGTGCTGATAGCGGCGGCGCGGCACCTTATTCATCTTCCCCCCTGCCAGCTTATCGGCCAACAACTGTAAAAACGCCACCAAGATGGATTTAGGGAGGGAGTTCCACGACAGGAACGCCGGCGACACGGACACAGGGGACACTGCAGCCGTCTGTGACGTAGGGGCCCCTACACACACCCCAAAAAATACAAACACACACACACACACAGGTGCAGACTGTGTGTGTGTGTGTGTGTGTGTGTGAGGTGCATAGCAGAAATACTCATTAACATAACAATGACAAACAAAGTGTTTCATGCAAAACACTGCAGCAGTAAAGAGTCGGTGCAAGTGAAGGTCACAGGCAGAAATGGGACAAAATGGTGGAGAAAAAAAAGGAAATATATGAAAAATGTTTTTTAGTGCATGGATGTTAAAATAAGATCATGTATTTGGACTCAAAACAGACATGTACCAAAAAATATATAAAAATATATATAGTTAAAGTTCAACCAAAAGAAAACATTTGTATTTTTTGTATGGTAATAAAACCAAAAAAATGACCTTTTTTAAGAAAATACATATATATATATAACAAAAAAATGGTTTAAAGTTTTTTTGTATTTTATTTGTGTTGCTTTTGATTTATTTGTTATGTATATTTGCTTAATTGTATTATTTTTTTAAATGTATTATTGAAGTAGTTTTATGTTTTTTAGTTATTTATTAAGCACAGTGTGTGTGTGTGATAGAGAGACCTTTGCTCAAACTTGTTTTTATCTATTTTGATATATTATTTACTCCGGTTTAACTACAATTATTTCAAAAATGTTACTCATAAAATCAATTTTATGCTTAAATATAAAATCTATTTTTACTAATCTTATTTAGCTCCTTTTTTGTAACCACAACTTCTTCTTTTTTTTTCCAAACAGCTTTTCCAGCTCAGGTGTTTCAACTTGTGCTGAAACCTCGTCAGTTGATTGGTCACTCCAGTCACCTGTCACCTCTGCTGAGACTCACTCTGAAGCTGAGCTGCAGACTGAGACGGAGGCTGACAGACAAGGTTTTTATTTTTGTCAATAAATTTACTCAACAGTTTTAATGATTAACACTATTTTTGTTTTGCTTTATTAATATTTATTTGATTTATTTTACTTCAGACTCCAGCAGAGTTCACGCAGCCCAGGTGTCACGGTCATGTGACCAGATAACGACAGACGTCAGACTTGGGTATGTTTGTGTGTTTTATTACTACTCTGACTTTCACATAATTCGACACAAGCTGATGTTTTTAAACCTGTTTTATTGTATCTCGCTGTAGAAGTTTTGCTATTTTTCCTCTGACAAACTACAACAGTCAGATTTGGTCACAATAATCGAAAAAAAAAAAA